TGTGGCTGAGTGAGGGGTGTGGCTGATGAGGGTGTGGCTGAGTGAGGGGTGTGGCTGGGTGAGGGGTGAGTGAGGGGTGTGGCTGGGTGAGGGGTGTGGCTGGGTGAGGGGTGTGGCCGGGTGAGGGGTGTGGCTGGTGATGGTTAGTGAGGGGTGTGGCTGGGTGAGGGGTGTGGCTGGGTGAGGGGTGTGGCTGGGTGAGGGGGGTGCTGAGTGAGGGGTGTGGCTGGGTGAGGGTGTGGCTGGTGAGGGGTGAGTGAGGGGTGGCTGGGTGAGGGGTGTGGCTGGGTGAAGGGTGTGGCTGAGTGAGGGGTGTGGCTGGTGAGGGGTGTGGCTGGGTGAGGGGTGAGTGAGTGTGGCTGAGTGAGGGGTGTGGCTGGGTGAGGGGTGTGGCTGGTGAGGGGTGTGGCTGAGTGAGGGTGTGGCTGGGTGAGGGGTGTGGCCGAGTGAGGGTGTGGCTGGTGAGGGGTGTGGCTGGTGAGGGGTGAGTGAGGTGTGGCTGGGTGAGGGGTGTGGCTGGGTGAGGGGTGTGGCTGGATGAGGGTGTGGCTGGGTGAGGGTGAGTGAGGGTGTGGCTGGGTGAGGGGTGTGGCTGGGTGAGGGTGCTGGGTGAGGGTGAGTGAGGGGTGTGGCTGGGTGAGGGGTGTGGCTGGGTGAAGGGTGTGCTGAGTGAGGGGTGTGGCTGGTTGAGGGGTGTGGCTGAGGGGTGTGGCTGAGTGAGGGGTGTGGCTGGGTGAGGGGTGTGGCCGAGTGAGGGGTGTGGCTGGGTGAGGGGCGGCTGGGTGAGGGGTGAGTGAGGGGTGTGCTGGTGAGGGGTGTGGCTGAGTGAGGGGTGTGGCTGGGTGAGGGGTGTGGCTGGGTGAGGGGTGTGGCTGGGTGAGGTGTGGCTGGGTGGGTGAATGAGGGGTGTGGCTGGGCGAGGGGTGTGGCTGGGTGCGGGGTGTGGCTGAGTGAGGGGTGTGCTGGTGGGGGTGGCTGGGTGAAGGGGTGGCTGGGTGAGGGGTGTGGCTGGGTGAGGGTGAGTGAGGGTGTGGCTGGGTTAGGGGTGTGGCTGAGTGCGGGGTGTGGCTGAGTGAGGGTGTGGCTGGGTGAGGGTTGCTGGTGAGGGTGAGTGAGGGGTGTGGCTGAGTGAGGTGTGGCTGAGTGAGGGGTGTGGCTGGGTGAGGGGTGTGGCTGGGTGAGGGGTGTGGCTGGGTGAAGGGTGTGGCTGGGTGATGGGTGAGTGAGGGTGTGGCTGGGTGAGGGGTGTGGCTGAGTGAGGGGTGTGGCTGGGTGGGGTGTGGCTGGGTGAGGGGTGTGGCTGAGTGAGGGGTGTGGCTGGGTGAGGGGTGTGCCGCGTGAGGGGTGTGGCTGGGTGAGGGGTGTGGCTGAGTGAGGGGTGAGTGAGGGGTGTGGCTGGGTGAGGGGTGTGGCTGGGTTAGGGGTGTGGCTGGATGAGGGGGTGGCTGGGTGAGGGGTGAGTGAGGGGTGTGGCTGGGTGAGGGGTGTGGCTGGGTGAGGGGTGAGTGAGGGGTGGGGCTGAGTGAGGGGTGTGGCTGAATGAGGGGTGTGGCTGGGTGAGGGGTGTGGCTGAGTGAGGGGTGGCTGGGTGAGGGGTGAGTGAGGGGTGTGGCTGAGTGAGGGGTGTGGCTGGGTGAGTGAGGGGTGTTGGCTGAGTGAGGGTGTGGCTGGGTGAGGTGGGTGTAGGGGTGGGCTGGGTGAGGGTGTGGCTGGGTGCGGGGTGTGGCTGAGTGAGGGGTGTGGCTGAGTGAGGGGTGTGGCTGAGTGAGGGGTGTGGCTGGGTGAGGGGTGATGAGGGGTGTGGCTGGGTGAGGGGGTGTGGCTGGGTGAGGGGTTGGCCGGTGAGGGGTGTGGCTGGGTGATGGGTTAGTGAGGGGTGTGGCTGGGTGAGGGGTGTGGCTGGGTGAGGGGTGTGGCTGGGTGAGGGGTGTGGCTGAGTGAGGGGTGGCTGGGTGAGGGGTGTGGCTGGGTGAGGGGTGAGTGAGGGGTGTGGCTGGGTGAGGGGTGTGGCTGGGTGAAGGGTTGTGGCTGAGTGAGGGGTGTGCTGTTGAGGGTGTTCTGGGTGAGGGGTGAGTGAGGGTGTGGCTGAGTGAGGTGTGGCTGGGTGAGGGGTGTGGCTGGGTGAGGGGTGTGGCTGAGTGAGGGTGTGGCTGGGTGAGGGGTGTGGCGAGTGAGGGGTGGCTGGGTGAGGGGTGTGGCTGGGTGAGGGTGAGTGAGGGGTGTGGCTGGGTGAGGGGTGTGGCTGGGTGAGGGGTGTGGCTGGATGAGGGGTGTGGCTGGGTGAGGGTGAGTGAGGGGTGTGGCTGGGTGAGGGGTGTGGCTGGGTGAGGGGTGGCTGGGTGAGGGGTGAGTGAGGGGTGTGGCTGGGTGAGGGTGTGGCTGGTGAAGGGTGTGGCTGAGTGAGGGTGTGGCTGTTGAGGGGTGTGGCTGGGTGAGGGGTGTGGCTGAGTGAGGGGTGTGGCTGGGTGAGGGGTGTGTGCCGAGTAGGGGTTGGTGGCTGGGTGAGGGGTGCGGCTGGGTGAGGGGTGAGTGAGGGGTGTGGCTGGGTGAGGGGTTGTGGCTGAGTGAGGGGTGTGGCTGGGTGCAGGGGTGTGGCTGGGTGAGGGGGTGTGGCTGGGTGGAGGGGTGTGGCTGGGTGAGGGGTGAATGAGGGGTGTGGCTGGGCGAGGGGTGTGGCTGGGTGCGGGGGTGTGGCTGAGTGAGGGTGTGGCTGGGTGAGGGGTGTAGCTGGGTGAAGGGTGTGGCTGGGTGAGGGGTGTGGCTGGGTGAGGGTGAGTGAGGGGTGTGGCTGGGTGAGGGGTGTGGCTGAGTGCGGGTGTGGCTGAGTGAGGGGTGTGGCTGGGTGAGGGGTGTTGGCTGGGTGAGGGGTGAGTGAGGGGTGTGGCTGAGTGAGGGGTGTGCTGAGTGAGGGGTGTGGCTGGGTGAGGGGTGTGGCTGGGTGAGGGGTGTGGCTGGGTGAGGGGTGAGTGAGGGGTGTGGCTGGGTGAGGGGTGTGGCTGGGTGCGGGGTGTGGCCGGGTGAGGGGTGTGGCTGGGTGAGGGGTGTGGCTGAGTGAGGGGTGTGGCTGGGTGAGGGGTGAGTGAGGGGTGTGGCTGGGTGAGGGGTGTGGCTGGGTGAGGGGTGTGGCTGAGTGAGGGGTGTGGCTGGGTGAGGGGAGTGGCTGGGTGAGGGGAGTGGCTGGGTGAGGGGTGTGGCTGGTTGAGGGGTGTGGCTGGTTGAGGGGGTGGCTGGTTGAGGGGTGTGGCTGGGTGAGGGGAGTGGCTGGGTGAGGGGTGTGGCTGAGTGAGGGGTGTGGCTGGGTGAGGGGTGTGGCTGGGTGAGGGGTGTGGCTGGGTGAGGGGTGTGGCTGGGTGAGGGGTGTCGCTGAGAGAGGGGTGTGGCTGAGTGAGGGGTGTGGCTGGGTGAGGGGTGAGTGAGGGGTGTGGCTGGGTGAGGGGTGTGGCTGAGTGAGGGGGGAGTGAGGGGTGTGGCTGAGTGAGGGGTGTGGCTGAGTGAGGGGTGTGGCGGGGTGAGGGGTGTGGCTGGGTGAGGGTGTGGCTGGGTGAGGGGTGTGGCTGGGTGAGGGGTGTGGCTGAGTGAGGGGTGTGGCTGGGTGAGGGGTGTGGCTGGGTGAGGGGTGTGGCCGGGTGAGGGGTGAGTGAGGGGTGTGGCTGGGTGAGGGGTGTGGCTGGGTGAGGGGTGTGGCTGGGTGAGGGGTGTGGCCGGGTGAGGGGTGAGTGAGGGGCGTGGCTGGGTGAGGGGTGTGGCCGGGTGAGGGGTGTGGCTGGGTGAGGGGTGTGGCTAAGTGAGGGGAGACCCCGAGACCCACTGTTGGGGATGCGCTCCACTGGAGCGGACGGTGCCAGGGCAACGTGCGACAAAGAAGGGGAGGAGGATGACGACGATGATGACGACGATGACGACGACGATGATGACGACGATGATGATGATGACGATGATTGGTAACGACTGCTGAATTATGATGGATGACCATGAATGATTGTGATGATGATTGGTTACGTTGGTGATGGAGATGACAAATTAGAATGGATGACTATTATTGTTACCTATTATTATGACTACGCTTGTTAGGAAAGCCTCACTGAGTCCTTTTCATTTGTTTTCCAGTAGGCGGTGATGTTGCTGCGGTGTGTAATCAAAATTGAGCAATTTACCGGAACATTTTCATCATTTGGCCAATAGCAGTTAGATCGCGTGTGTTCTCTTAGCTATGGAAGAAAACCTAGAAAACCTGGAAGAGATCCATGAAGGACATGGGGAGAACATAGGAACTCTACACAGGAAGGCACCTGAGTCGGTAATCAAACTTAGCGGCTCTTGCTGTAAGGCACAATGCACAAGTGTTAGCAGTGCTGCCCAAATTACGTTCATGTTTGATGACAATTGGAGATGGGGACGATGGAAAAGTGAGTTGATGGCAATGGATGTTGGTGACTGTTGGAAGTGATGATGATGGTGGCGATGATGATGGTGATGATGAGATTCACGGTAACTACAATAATGGGAGTGGTAACGTGAAAAGGAGAGATATACTAAGAGAGAGATGCAGAGAAACAAGAGGCAGAAATTTCCAGAGACAGGGAGGCAGAGAGACACACGTAATACACAGGGCCACAAAGAGAGACAGAGATAGGCAAAGAGGTACAAAGGGAGGACCCAGAACAGGCACAGATGTCAATGGCCACCGAAGTTTGCATAGCTAGGAACCACACCGAGATCATTAGGTTCATGGTGGAGCATGGTAACCAACACACCTCCGCCGCTTTCCACACATACACACAACGGAGATACATGTTCTACACAACCTAACTCTTACGCTCCGATTATCCACACTCTACTATTAATCACACTATTATCCACACTCTACTATTAATCACACTATTATCCACACTCTACTATTAATCACACTATCATCCACGTTCCATCCACCACGCTCCGTCCACCATGCACCCACCTGCGCCCGGCGTGCGTATGCGCTGCGACGGCTGGCTGGGGTTTCCGCGGCCGCAGGCGTTGTGCGCCACCACTTTGAACTCGTACTCCACCCACGGCTTGAGGTCCCCCACCACGGCGCTCTCCCTGTCCCCCTCGATGTTGCGGGGCTCTGCGAGGGAGCGGCGGCACCGGTGGCGTCAGCGGCCCGCGCCGTGCGATTCAAACGACCGCGGGCCCGGCCGTCCGCGGCTCGCTCCAAGCGTGAGGATCGCGAGATGCGATGGCCGAATTCACCCAAAACGGCCCCAATCTCATCAGATATCGGAAGCTGAAGCGGAGTTAATAGATAATGATTGCTTATTTAGCCAGGAAAGCCACACTGAGGCCAAAGGGTTTTAATCAAGACGGCCCTGCATTGAGATGTTTATCCAATAGCAATTACATTCTGTGTTTTTAGCTATGGGAGGAAACTAGGGCACCCAGAGATGGAGAAGTTACAAACTCCGTGCAAAAATACGCCCGAGTTGGGATCGAACTGGGGTCCTTCTTGCTGCGAGTGTTTGCGCTGCACTAGCCCTGCCGTCCTAGCCTGGACAACGCTTGGACAGGTGACCATCATGCACAAGGTGTTACAGGTTCCGGAGCGATGTGGCGCGCAGTATGGGGCAGTGTAAAATAATGCATTGCGGTGTTGTATCTCCATGCTCCCAGTGTCATTGTACTCTCCGTGCAATCCCACACTGACCAGTGCATCGAAGTACAGTCCAGTCAATCCCCGACACTGCAATCACCCGACACAGTCTACGAGGGTTATCGTGACCCCACGCTACGGACAGACGAACGCATCTGCGCTCCTCGACCTCAGTTTTGGAACGCGTTCGCGATGGCCCGACGGAGCGACCCTGCAAGCCATGGAACGAGCTAGGCCCTGGGGGGGCCCGGCACATACCGGTGCGGGTGGGCACGCAGGCCCTGTTGTTGTAGAGCGGCGAGTGGCACTCCAGCGTGTAGCTGGTGATGGGGCTGTGGTGGTCGGCCCCGTGGCTCCACGTCACCCGCACCGCAGTGGCGTTCACCGACACGGCCTTCACACCTCCCGGGGGCCCCGGCGGGCCTGCGGCACCGACACAGGGGGGCGGTAAGAGGCGCCGGGGTGGTCGGTCTCCGTGTCACGGGAGGCCTGGGTTCAAAGGGTCAAACGCTACCTCTCACAAACGCAAATTATACGACAGGAACATAGAGAAGCATAACGAGACGTAAATAAAGTGACCAAAACACAGGGACACGAAGAGGTCAAATATGGATTACCTAAATGATGTGAACGAGCAATCGAAAGCAATTGGACTCTCAACTTCCAAGCAATAGATCCAGTCCGTGATGGAATGCCGAATAAGAGGGAACAGACGTTGGTCGCAAAAGCAATGCCAACATTTTGTGATGCATTGTGGATAAAAGTTTGTAAATGATACTTGCTCTGATTAACTTCGTTGCCTCAACTCTGAATCTGGCTGCCTTCCATGATCAATACGGAAGGACCTACATTCGTTCAAGTTCATCTTTAAAGCATTTCTCAGGATATGCCACTAGGTGTATCGGGTTCGTTCATATTCGACCGAAGCCTGAGATGTGTCACAAAAATTCCCGAGTTGGCCATTTAGGGAAAGGCGTTTTCGAACATAATGGAGAGGCGTGACATTGACCGCGTCTCTGCGAGCCTCTGTTAGTTGATACGTTGCATTTGGGTGCGAGTGCCAGCCAATGCACAACTCAAAAATCCCCCACGCCTCATTGAGTTGTGGCACCGAATCTGGGCAGCTGCTCAAAGTTTAAACCAGGTCCACCGAGTGTAACGAGGCGATGATCTCCGCCCCGTGACACAATGCCATCGCATTACGTTTGTTTTCTGCACTTTCATTTGGATAAAATCCAGCACCGAGACTTACAATTATCGGCGCTACAATTATCGTTGCCAGGAGAAACGCAATCTCCGCTGCCCTCCCATACTGCTTGGACATCTCAGAAGCAGCCTGCGACATCTCCTTCCATGGACCCATTCTCTACCGCGCGGTGCATCGCCGCTCTGCGAGCGTTTCAAGTGAATTCTTCGTCGTAAAAATGACAGGATGCCTTCAGCACAATTGTGTTCAAATTGGGGTGGGGAAGACGATACCCGAAAATGTTTTGAAGAAAAAAAATAACTCGGGAGGAACGCGTGGCCTTGCCGCGCTTCCTCCGAGCGCAGCCAGGAGGAGGGGCGCGGCGGTGCCCGTTCACCGGGGGACTCTCAAACCCCGGCCGGCTCCCCGGTGAGCTCGGCGAGCGGTGACCGAGCCGGCAGTGATCGCTCGGCACTGCCAGGCCTCGCCGCCGGAGCCCGTGATGGATGCTGCCCCACGGAGAAACACTGTTTTGAGAAACCCAATGAAACATAATGAAATGTAGCCAAATGGAACGCAGCGCGGTCCAGCATGATTCACTGCCTCGCAGGAGGGCTTCGTGCATGTCTCCTCGCAATCAATCATTATAACCCGTTGAGGGGGATTGCCTTCCATTTCACCAACGTTGATGGTACGCAGTCATTGCATTTTATTCACAATGCGGTGTTCTGAGAGGCAATTGAGTCATAGAAAAGGAAGTCGAATGGACACGACGCTTGCGTTGGGGAACCTTATTTGTGAACGTGCCGTTGTCTCCACGCGAGGGAATTTGATGGGATCATCGGCACGGATGCTGACATCACCGATGACGATAAGTGGAGGAAAGGTTAAGAGTGGAGGTGCGATCGGAAGTTGAGGGGTCACTTTCGATGACAAATCGAGGTTGAGGTAAGAGATGCTCAAAGGAAGCAACATGATGAAAGGGCGTACGCTGAAGATTTGTGACTCGAGTTTAGATTATTACAGCGAGGCCACTGCCTCTATGGAGACAGCGGCCTAAAGGGAAGCCTTCAAAAAGATAGGCGGGGTCAGAGGCCACGTGCCATGTGCCAAATTTTAACTGAGACAGAGGATTGGAGGATTGTGGAATGAGTGAAGCGCCAATCAGGTTGTAGAGCTGCACCGTAGATGGCTGGGATGCCTGTGGAGAGGGCCCGAGAGCGACGTGGCAATTGTGGCAGACATTTTTCTAACGAAGGGACCGGTGGTGATTCCTGAGAGATGTGGGTGGTGCAGGTGGAGCAAAGAGGTCAGGGCTAGCAGAGGTGGATAAGGGTGGTGGATAGGTCAACAAGCGGGGGTTGGGGGGCTGCGGTGTGTAATGTGCGTGGCAGGGTGATGGACTGAAAGCAGAGAAGTCAGTGGTGTCGGATGAAGGTGTATGACGGTGAATGTCACGGACAGGGAGGCTGATGAAGGGGGGTAATTGATTGGGATGGTAGGCCCAAGGAAAGTAAGAGATCTTGACTTAAAGCTTTCGTGACTGCAGGAATTCATACTCTTTGGGTCTTTCGGTAAAGTCAGATAGATAGAAAAATAATAAAAAGGAATAGGTGATGGGATCCATCCGCAGGGATGCTGAAATCACCGATGATAAGTGGAGAAAAGGAAAGGTTAAGAGTGGATAAGAAGAGGGTATTGAAGAACAAGAAAGTGGTGGAGGAAAGTGAAGTGATGGCGAGGGTGAACATGAGATGACAGTAGCGGACAATGGTGCAGCAGCGATGGTGCAGCAGCAATGGTGCAGCAGCAATGGTGCAGCAGCAATGGTGCAGCAGCAATGGTGCAGCAGCAATGGTGAATGATGGGGTTGGCAGGGCTCGGCAGTCAGGCAGGAGCGCAGTGAGACCCAGGTTTGGTTGAAGCGTTCCACGACGTCTTCTTTAATGTATCAGGTGGACGGGGTGAATGGCACTCGAGTGCATAACTTGGACTCACCTTGAGTTACATATGTACAGTCGCACTCATCACACACAACGTGCTTGCCACAAATGAACCACAATACCACGCTGATCTCGTCAAGGAGCATAAACCATCATCACGTGAACTCCGGCCATCCTCGCAGCAGCTTTTGGCTGTCCATCGAACAAAGGCAGTCGCTGCATCGCGCGCTTTCAGATGCGCTTCTGCGACTGCCTGGAACACTTTTCCTTCCGATATTAGGAAGCCACTGGAGCTATGCACTTTAAATCATCATCTTGATTGAAAACTCAGTTCTTTAAGACTGCTTTTTGTATTGTTTCTTGTCCTTCCCCACACCTCTGATTAGTGCGGTTGGCTACGTATGGTGCAAAAGAAGTTCAACCTACATACAACATACTAACTACATACAGAATACATCAATGCTTACATAAAAGGGGGTCCTAGTTCAAAAGAAAGGCTGGGGATCACGAACTAAGCTCAACGAGATAGACCTTTATTTCATGCGGTTGGCTAGGAATGTCAAGAGTTTCTCAGTGAACAGCGGGCAGATGGACGGGCCCTTTTTCTGCCACAAGAAATGAGCGCAGATCACTGCCGGCTGACATCAATCAAAAGGACCTTTTAAGATGAAGCCGACAGTAGCGAAGGAAACGTATTCCCTGCGTGTTTATTCATGAGTCATTTGAGCTCTATGAAGAAATAAGGGTGAGGTATTTAAATGTAAATTCCTCTCATTTGAATGACGCTCAATTCACCCCAACACGTGTTCTCCATCTAAAATCCCAGAGCGAAAGATCAAGTCTGTAAAATGGATATAAAAACTGGGTTTTTTTTCTCTGTTCCGTAATTTATATATTTTTTCACTCGACCTGGCTTTACAAGTCTCCATAGCGCATCTGCTCGACTATGATCCACATTTACACAATGGCACATCTCATGAGCATTTCTGTACCCATGCAAGTTGCATGTTATATTTGGCAACTATTCGTGAAGGATAGCTTACCTAGTTAATTCATTTACAGACATTTACATATTCCTAATGTGCCTGTAGCACAGTGCTATTTTCTCACCGTATGTTATTATCATGTTTAACATCGATGGCACCGCTCCCACAACGTGTTCAGAGTCATCTATCATCATCAGCCCTGCTCTATCCACTGCTTAATGAAGGTGTCCTCATGTCATGATCTTGCGATGCCACAATCTGTCTGGCTTCTGACACACGAGCCGATCTCTCCACTACATCTCCGCAACAGTCTTCCTCTCGGATGTGTTGTCCCATTTGGCCTCATCCGTCGGTCACAATCCACTCAAGCGTCATGCGCTGCACGCGCACTAAAGCAGCTGGGAGCAAACTCATGTAAGTTAAAGTTTCCGAAAAAAAAAAAACTGCACAGCTGACCTCGCAAAAAAAGTATGCAGTGGAGGGATTGGCATTGCTTGTCCGTCCAGTTTCATAGGAAGCGGAGCCCTGGTCGAGTATTTGAGGTGAAACGGGAAGTGACTACGGACGGGCACAGCGACAGACGGAATGGACATCGTCGTGAGTGGCCGGATGACTCCGCCACGGCCAGGCAGAAACCGCGTCACCGTTCTCAACTGCTCGTGACTCACCGTGCTGCAGGTTTGTGGTTGGCCCTCTAACACCGGCTGCTCGTGACTCGCTGTGCTGCAGGTTTGTGGTTGGCCCTCTAACACCGGCTGCTCGTGACTCGCCGTGCTGCAGGTTTGTGGTTGGCCCTCTAACACCGGCTGCTCGTGACTCACCGTGCTGCAGGTTTGTGGTTGGCCCTCTAACACCGGCTGCTCGTGACTCGCTGTGCTGCAGGTTTGTGGTTGGCCCTCTAACACCGGCTGCTCGTGACTCACCGTGCTGCAGGTTTGTGGTTGGCCCTCTAACACCGGCTGCTCGTGACTCACTGTGCTGCAGGTTTGTGGTTGGCCCTCTAACACCGGCTGCTCGTGACTCGCCGTGCTGCAGGTTTGTGGTTGGCCCTCTAACACCGGCTGCTCGTGACTCACCGTGCTGCAGGTTTGTGGTTGGCCCTCTAACACCGGCTGCTCGTGACTCACCGTGCTGCAGGTTTGTGGTTAGCCCTCTAACACCGGCTGCTCGTGACTCACCGTGCTGCGGGTTTGTGGTTGGCTCTTTAACACCGGGCCACTCGGCATCAATGATGTTTAAACAAATCCGTAATTTTTCTCCAGTAGCACCCCTTCACTGGACCTCTCACAGCAAAGCGAAATTTAATTCTCATACCTGGAATTTATGCAAAGTAGTGAAGAACCGACTTTTACATGATGCTGTTTATTTTGTTCAATTATTGGGTGACTGGGCTGAGACCATCAACTCACTGCACTTGATAATGAAGATGTGGATACCTGCACAAGGGGACAATACAAGACTCTCCACTATGTGTGGATATGAACTCTACAGCATGGAGCGTGAAACTTCGCACTGCTCCATATGTAAATTTGAAGGCAGTGGGTGGGTGAGTGGGTGAGGGGGTGAGTGAGCAGGTGAGTGAGTGGGTGAGTGAGTGGGTGAGGGGTGAGTGAGCGGGTGAGTGAGTGGGTGAGGGGGTGAGTGAGTGGGTGAGGGGGTGAGTGGGTGAGTGAGTGGGTGAGTGAGCGGGTGAGGGGGTGAGTGAGCGGGTGAGTAGGTGGGTGGGTTGTTGAGGGGGTGAGTGAGTGAACGGGTCGGTGAGTCTGTTGTGACGTGCAGTGTGAAGGATGAACACAGCGTTTATGAGACCACGCAGTCTCGCAGATCAAGTGGCCAACATGGGAAGAGGAGGAGGAATCAATGAAGTGGGTGTATCTGCCATTCACCACCCCTCGGACGAAGCAATCGAATGTCTAAATCACTTACAAATGAACCTCGAACAGCTTCTTGACACTGGCCACTTGACAACCCAGCTTCATCACAGGCAGCTGCCCGGATTTGAAATCAGGAGCAGAGCAATGGCAGCCCAGTGCTCTGACCTCTGGGCCAGACGGCCACCTCAGGCCGCCGATGACACTCATCCCTCGGGGCGGCGCTTGCGTGCGTCGCGAGAGCTCGGAGAGCTCCGTGGCGGGTGCCGTGTGCTCACCCCGAACCACCACGTCGGCTTTGGCGGAAGCGGTATCCACCACGGTCTGGGCCAGGCAGGTGTATGTCCCTTCGTGCAGGAGCTGCACGTCCCTGATCACCAGGTCTCCCACCGTCTCCTTCTGTGCACGCAGCAGGGGGGACATTTACGTTACAAGCTGTCGCCGACGACAGAGGGGTCTCTTGGTAAAAGATAAAGGTGCGGCCCTGCAACTGCTTGTTTGTGACACTGTTGGCAGAACAGCCTCCACTAGAGGGAGCATTAGAATGCAGTGTGTGTGTTCTCCCCCTGTTCTGCGTGAGTTCCCTCTGGGTCCTCTGGTTTCCTTTCATAGCAAAAACACATACAGCGTGACTGGTATTGGCCAAACCTCCCAAATGTTCAAAGAGAACCTGCACATTGCTTAATTGGGATCACGCACAGCAGCAACATCGCCCCCTACTGCAAAACACTTGGCAGGACCCTCATTAAAAAAAGGATTGAAAATAAGCGTCAGCATAGCATTGCAACATCCTGTCATAATATCCCTGTCGAGTCCCAATATACCTGTAGAGATCCAATACACCTGTAGAGTCACAGAATACCTGGAGAGTCACAGTACACCTGTAGAGCCAAACATCCAGAGAAATTGGGCGAGGAAGTGGTGGGTCAGCCTCTGACCCACACAGTGCCGTGGACATGACTTCGTCTTGACAAACTCGCGACACTCACGTTGAGTTTCTTTACAATTGGTTGATGTAGTCCATCAAAACCCTATCTTGCATTTGTGTCCCTTGAGCTCCTTATCTTTTAGTCCGTAACGACGCTACCGTCAACTTATTTCTTTGAATAAATTACTGCAAAAAGTCTCACCTAAAGGCCCAGACTAGAGTGATGTCCGTGGGTATTATGAGAGAAAAAAAACGTCCTGCCTCAAAAATGTAAGAAAAATGTCAATCCCAAGCCACATTATAAAATAAACATCCTTTCCAGCTGATGAGAAATGTCATCAGCCGAGGAATATGTGCAGGCCGGGCCAAACATCACGTTAAGCTTAAATAGCAATTCTATGCTTACGCTTATTTCAATAACTGTCGGGCATGTACTGCTCGCGCTACTGCTGTAAGAACGCCCTCCACCAGAGGGAGCTCCAGAGGACCCACTGCAGAGGGCCCACACGGCAGAGGTCGCAACCGGGTACCCGATACCCGTACCATACCCAAGGCTACCCGTACCCGGCCGGTTACGGGTACGGGTACCCGTTTGCGACCCTGGTGCGGCCGGGTACGGGTAAGCCGTGAGTCACTGGTGAGTAACCGTTTGTCACTCATTTCCCAACGTCTTGTCTCTTCTCACAATTTAAGTTCCTAGAATCAACCCACTCGCGCCTGCAACATGGCTTCATCCCAGAGGTCGCAATCGGGTACTCGTACCCGTACCCTACCCGATACCCGGCCGGGTACGGGTAGCCGGGTATCGGGTAGGGTACGGGTATCGGGTACCCGTTTGCGACCCTGGTGCGACCAGGTACGGGCAAGGAATCAAAACCCGTTTGGGACCTCTGCCAGACGGCAACCCGCTGACGAACTGTGGTCTGTGATGGTGTGGGGACAGAGGCAGCAGGGGGGATTTGAGACAATTTCCTCATTGTTTCAACTGCCCAGCCAGTAGACCCAACCAGTGTGCAAACCGCTGCAGGGCATCTTGAAGGAGGCTGGCTTCACAGAGGGTAGGTGGCCACAGTGCATTGCGAGTGTCGCCAGACGAGATACTTAAGCACACTTATCTGGCTTTCTAAAATATAAATATTCATGTGCTTTTATCTTCATATTTCAAGTTAATCTGTTTAATGCCCGAGCAAAAATAAACCATTTATGGTTTGACACATTAATCTACTTACTTTAAAATTACTTTGTGTTATATTTGCGTAGTCATCAAATATCCACTTTCATTGGATTAATGACAATGCGAATTTACAAACAAGGCACTAATTGAGAAATTGTATTGCTTGTTCTACCAGAATACGTGCAACTGAAAGTAAAACTGTGTTCGCTGCAGGGGAAACGTATATGAATTGCTGGACTGCTTTCATAATTTCCTGCTAGAAAATGCATTGATTTCAGAAATAATGAAGATAAATCAATGACATCAAGGCAGATACCATCATATCACACGGCTGTGGTTAAAACAACCCTCTGTGCAACTATTAATAATATATCTGAGAACAGCAGTAAAATATGTGCTATGAATGATTGATAACAGTAATGCCATTATTGATGTTCCAAGCCCCATCTTCATATCTCAAACAAGTTACCAATTTAAGAACTGGTTGAATACATTTTCCCGTGAAACATAACTTTGATTCATTGATTCCAATCGTAAAATTGTAACAAAACCACGTATATTATAAAGGTGAAACATTTGACATTTTACACGATTACAGCCGAGTCCCTGCTAGGAATAAAAACCTGACTGCAACTCCCATAAAAAATCCGAGTTTCAACAAAACAACTTCGTGACGCGTCGTTAATGTGAAGAATGCATGACACTGATGATGATATACAGCGGGTGGCAGCGTGGATGTGAATTGTCTACTTGTACATACATGTACAGTGCATACTCTCACAATAAAGATTTGTTGGTGCTTCATAAACACCTCGTCTCTGTGGTCCTATGTTACCATACGCTAATCACCCGGGCACCTTTCTACGTGGAGCTTGTATGTCCTCTCCCTGTTGTGCAAGCGTTTCTCTGCGCGTTCTGCAGTTTCATCCAATAGCCTTTCTAACTTGGGTTTCTTCTCATCTCTCTGATCGGATGTATCACGTCGTTATAAACGGAATCTCTTCCTTGAACAAACCTCTGCTTGATGGTGTTTCACAAGGGTACATTCCGGGCCCTCTTCTATTCACTACACATCTTCGTCCATTAGGCAAACTCAACTCCAGTTTTGGTACAAAACACCATTTCTATGCAGATGATTCACACATTTACATCAGTTTCAGTCAATCTGATATAAACGCAACTTCCACCGTCTTAATGTCTGACCGCAGTTGCTGACTGGCTCGCGGAAATTTTTCTTCAAATTTATGAGGCTAAAACTGAAGTTCTCTTAGTTGGAAAAAAAAATCACTTACCTCTAAGCATCGCCACTCCACTGTACGTCTGCTTGAATCCGATCTCCGTGAGTCAAGAGGCACGGAATATTGGTTTCATTATTCACTCTAACCTCTACTTTTCTTCTCACATTTCCTTAACGTGCAAAACTGCTTATTTCCATCTCCGTAAAATTTCTCGTAACCGTAACTGTCTCCCCGATACGGCTGGAGCAACAATAATTAATGCATTTGTTACCTCCAGGCTAGACTACTGCGATTCTCTGTTATATGGTCTTTCCTTGTCTCTCATCCAACGTGTGCAATATGTGCAGAAAGCAGCTGCAAGCATGCTCATACCCATAAGCGCCATCATATCACACCCATCTTACGATCACTCCACTGGCTACCTATTCAGTCCAGAATAACTTTCAAGATTGCTCTTACCGTTTTTAAAAAAATCTTCATGGGCTAGCCCTTGCCTGTCTTTCCCCTCTCGTTTCAGTTTATTTCCCAACCTCGGGTTCTCCGCTCCGCTTCACTCGAGGTTTGCTGTGCACCCCAAAAATTCAACACAAATCGGTGGACGAGCGTGCACACGTGCAGCCAACAGAGTCTGGGACACTCTCCTGCTACACATCCGACAAATCAAATCAATTAACTTATTCAAATCTGAACTGATGGCCTATTTATTTGTATTGCCATACACGCTGCAAAAGAGGCATTTACATTATTGTCCAACTGGATCTGAACTTTTAGGCCACTCCACCACCCCTCCAGGAAAGGTTCTGCAAATTCCAGCGAAATGTTGGGATTGTAGTCTGGGGTATCGAGACCGAATGGATTTATTTATTTTACTTTGTTTTAGTGCATTTTTCTCGTTATTTATGAATACTTTTAGAATATTTGCTAAGTAGTGGTGGTGTTTAAATTTTGTATGTTTTGTAAGGAACTGGATAATTAATGTGCAGCGTATGCAATTGCATGAATGATGCGATGTAAAATTAAATTATTATTATTATCGCTAAACACACACATAATATAACTGGTGCTGGTCAAAACATATCCCGATACTGAAAATGTTCCCCGCAAATTTTTAACTTGGCAGGACCTTCTTGAAAGAGAATCTTGAGACTCAGCGAGGCATTCCTGGGTCAATACTAATGATGTCTCCCTCTAGGTAAAATAAATGTATCCCCCAGGTAACAAGGCTGTCCAGTTTGCATACTGCCGCCAGGAGAAGGCTGCATACGGTGCATATCCCGTCATTCTCTCATGGGAACCGCACCTGGTTCTCACCATAGCAACGGGAAACGGACCAGGTTATCACCATAGCAACGGGAAACGGACCAGGTTATCACCATAGCAACGGGAAACGGACCAGGTTATCACCATAGCGACGGGGACTTTCCACCACCAGCTCACGGCTGCCAACAGAGATCAGTACCACCCCAGAGGGGTGCACACGGGGGGAGGATGGGGGGGGGTTGCGCCGTAGCGCCTTTGCTGCTCGTTGCAGAGGTTTGCGGGTTGGACCCAGCGTCCGCTCTGGTTAATATCACGGGTGTACTGCACAAACTAAATACACTGCCCGCTTCACAGCGCACGTTCCGTTAAGAGTGGGCTACGTGTGCCGGCGTCGCGGTTCTAATTTAATAAATAAATACAAAGATATGAAATAACCACGACCATGCACAACAACGAAGTAATGCATCTCCAGGGGATCTCGTGCGATTAAATAAAAGACGGGGGCTGATTGATGTAACGAATAATGCTGGGGTCGGCTGCGTGTCGCCTCCAGGTTGTTTAGCATGCGCAGACAGGAAGCGTGGCAAAGACATCCGACTGCACTCTTCGCAGGGATAAAATTTACATCTTCCAAAAAAGCATTTTCACCGGGCAACGATTCAAGCGGTTTGCGTGGACGAAGGATCGAGATGAGTGCGTAAATTCAGCCGCAGCATTTAATTACACGACTGAGCGTGCAGGGGCACGCTCACTCGGGGTAGTCGGGATAGTTGGTGCGCTACGATCATCTCCTCCGCCTCCTCAGCGAAGCGGAGAGGCCCGATTCACGCCTCGCGCCGGGCCACTCTGCGCTTACCCCACCACGAGCCCAGAGCAGAAATCTCACTCGTGGGTGCCACCCAAGTTGGTTTAACATTGGTGGCTCCTATTCCATCATGTGGCCAATAAACAGCGATCTATGTAACAATTATTTCAAATGGTTATAAACTCATTGACCCTTTCATAATATAGTTTGTTTGGGTTAGATCGTGTAAATACAAATGTGTCGTTAAACCCGCTACCATCTGACACAGCCACCTAGTAAGGTTTGTCACGTAAACAGAACATTCCAATTCGTTACTAGTACAGCACACCGGTGTGTTGGAGAGCAAATCCCCCAAAACTATATTATGGATGATATTGGTCGCAAAAAGCCTACGTGTTAAACTAATTGACCCTTATTCGCCATGTAAATACATGGATATGATTTCGTCCCTTAGGTGATACCGATTTCCACTCTGGGCCATGGCCTAACCATGAGACTGGCGCTTTTGGAGGTGGCTTGATGGCTCCGGGGAGAGAGCACTGAGGCAGAAACGCCGAGATCCACGTGGGGTCCACGTGAGGTCTGCCTGGTCAGGCCGCACGACGAGCAGTCTTCGACTGCTGGATGTGAAGAAAGGAATCTCACCTAATCTCCAATCTCATTGACTGTCTGGTGTTTTCTTTTATTTCTGAATATGCCTGCCGCAGCCGTGCGTCGCAATTGCTTCAGAGAAGATATTCTCAACCAGAGGCGTGACCAAGAAAATTACTTTCAGAATACGAGCGGCTGCTGGATTCTAAAGTGTAGTGGGTTGATGCTGTCAGCCCAGTAACCAATGACTGCACAACAAAACCATTACAATACTCTACAATTTGGGTGGTCACTTAATTTTCTTATTTCAGTTCTGAGAAATAACACTTTCAATGACACGTGATGAACACTCTTTGCAGGGCAACAAAAGGCACGCCGCAAGTGTGCACACAAATCAAGCGACTTCAGAAGTTGTTCTGTGATGGTATTTTCTGCAGCCGTTCGATAACACAGGGTGATGCACCGCTTGCAACAACGTTCTGAACGGGCATTCGTTTGCCCCATGTACGTACGTTGAACTCCTTGAGCCCTGTACGTAGCTGACTGCGCTATTCGGAGGTTCGGGGAAAGGACAACACACCAAGACACTGGTAGTACAATTGGCAAACAAGCACAAAAACTTGCATTTTCGTTTTATGCTGCCTGAAAACTTACAGAAGCACACAAAGGTAATTGTCCCATGTGTGTCACTTTATAGACCAACGAGGAAAGTGATGTGATGAAGCACCGACTGTGGTCAATTCAGCAGACAGGAGGGTGGTGTGGCCGCCAGCATCCCAAGCGCTTCTGCAGTGGCGGTGTTTAGACACCACTACAGGAACTCGTTTAAGATTGAATCGACCAAGAGAGGCCCACAATATTTTAAGAAACCCTTTGCCACGATTGCCTGTTAGCCACACACACCAAGGACAAAGATCTTCCTTATAGCCTAAAAAGGCTTCTCGGGCAAGTGCAGTTAACGAGTAGCACCTATGAAGGCCCACATGGCATACGAAGGGGTGGGTGGCCACCACCATGTCCGGCCGCCTTGGTCTTCCTTGTGGCGATGTTTACACATCGCACAGGCTAATCATTTGAGGTTGAGTCAACCTAGGGGAAATGCAGGACTAGTTCAGACAATCATCGATGGTGTTGGCCGTGAGCGGGAATTGAACTTGGGTCGCCAAGATTGGTAGCTCAGTGCACACAGCATAAAAAGGAATGTAGAAACACACACACGTGTAACACACACGTGTGACACACACGTGTAACACACACGTACACAATCGTGCTCAGGCGGTGCCACCTCATACATGGTAGGAGGCTGAGTATCGCAGTTCAGACCGAATGAAATTGTGAATCAGGTTTGTTGCACGTGGCGACTTCTGTGTTATTCCTTCCCTTCATGCAGAACCAAATGTAGTGTGTCTGGCTGCCAGCCTATATTTACACCCATTCCATCGAGAGTAAATCTAACATTCCGCACCACATGAATGCCCGTGCACCATCCAAGCAGCTGCAGATAAATGGGGAAGCTTTTAGCATTGGCTACATCTGATGGTCACATCATGCTCCAGTGACCAATCTTCATGATCATCATCAGCCATGGTCAATCCACTGCTGGAGGAAGACCCCCTACCCAAGAAGCTGCCATCTTTCACTCTCTTGCGATGTAATAATAATCCACCCAGTATCTGCACACGAGTGCCTTTCGTTGCTCCATCTCCACGGCTAGAATGGTGATGGAATTGGGAGGGGGGGGGGGGAGCGTGGCTGCCTTGGCCTACAAGGGCAATTCTATCAGCGCAAGTTTTTTGTTATCAAATTTTGGGCGAACCTTTGACTGATATGTCCAGTTTATACAAGGTTAGTCTCAAACAGCGACACGACTTCATATTCACGCATCTCACTCACACTGCATCATCTCTACCAGAGTTATCGTGACCGCTCTCCCATCATCGACGGACAAAGCGGAAGGCATTCAAAGTCTCAAACTTAGTTGCAAAGCGTTTAAAAGCTTCCACTGACTTAAGTCATTATCAGTAATGTATTCTATGCACAGACACGCTAACAGAGACTGGGACACACACACAGAGTAAAGAAAGGGAAGCTAACCCAAACAGCGTAACCGCACGTCTGCTCGTGAGATAAGCAGCGGCAGCAGCTGTGAGAGCAGAGGGAGCGCCCAGAATGCAGAGGGATGCGGCAGGGTGCGGTACACTCGCTCGGCCGCCGCTCCTCTTATCAGCGGCACCGCAGCCCAGACACCGTGCGCGTTCAGAGCGACGCTGCGGCAACGCGGCGGCTTTACGCAGAGAGGCACGGAGCCACCTCGCCATGAGCTTTTAGACACCCAGAAGCGTTTGATTTCCCTTCCCACCACCAACAGTGGTTGACACGGTAAGTGGAAACAATTAAGAGCCGCCGAAAAATTCAACTTATCAAGCATTACACCTGTCCTCCGGGTCCCTGCGCTGGGTTGTTACTCACCTGTGCGTCAACTACAAAGCCGCTCGTTGTTGCTCGTGTGATCTCGCTCCCGTCTACTCTTTCTTCCCCGTATCCTCCGCGCTTGCTCCCTTTACTCACAGACCCGTGGTCGGATCGAGATGGAACGGATTGGCACCCGTGAAAATTCAACGAGGTGAAATTATTTAGCGTGGCGATATTACTCACGAACCAATCCTTTTAAGCAGCAGTTCCTGTAGAATCTACGGCGGTGTCAATCTATGCATTCCGTAGTGTCACGAACACGCAACTTTCTGTTTGTATATTTGGCGAGCTCTCTGGTTGCAGTGGTGGTAAAGTGATTATCGTCATCAGCCATAGTCAATCCACTGCTGGATGAAGGCCTCTCAAAGCCACTGTCGCCTCTCAGGATCCTGGCGATGCAATAATCCGCCTGGCATCTGTCAGATGTCTGTCATTGCTCCATCTCCTCTGCGGAAGAGACCTCGGGCGTTCTAACTCCGACATCATCCTTGAGCATCGGTAGTCATCCTTCTGAGCGGTGTCCTGCTAAGGTCCACTTGTGTCTGTAACGGTTATGTCGAGGTTGGTAACCTGCCTACATTCTCGAATCCACAAGTTGCGCCTAAACAAAACTCCATGCTTCATTGCGAAACTTTCCAGTCTTGTTCAATCCCCTTCGTTTAATGTCCATGCCTCTGAACCGTATGTCATAGCACGGAGGAAACGTTGATTGAAAATGTCTCGTCGGCCTCGTACTATGCGCCCTGGGTGAATGCCCCCTGCTGTGTTGATGCGTGAATCGTGGGCATGGGGCTCGGTGGTGATGCACGGATCCCAGCTCACCCCACGCACGCGCGAGTAGTGCGGGTTCTTGTCGTCCGTGTCGATGGACCGGTCGTGCAGCTTCCACTCGAAGGCCACGTCCAGCGAAGGGTCGGGGATGGCCCGGCACTGCAGGGTGACCTGGCCGCCCACCGTCACGGATGCCCCGCTCGGTGCCAGCGTGATGCTCGTTCGGTCTGCGTGCGTGTGTGTGTGCGTGCGTGTGTGTGTGCGTGCGTGCGTGTGTGGGTGCGTGTGTGTGCGTGCGTGTGTGTGTGCGTGTGTGCGTGCGTGCGTGTGTGGGTGCGTGCGTGTGTGCGTGTGCGCAAAGACAGCGGGGAGCGATAGTGTAGTGGTTAGTGCACTGCGCTACCAAACCAGCAACCCAAGCTCCCGCTCAAAGCCAACACCAGTGATGATTATCCTGTCTGGTCGTGGGCATCCTCTAAGTCGACTCAGCCTAAAAAAAGTAGCTGGCACGATGTGTAAACATCGCCACCGGCGAGACAAAGATGGCCAGGCATGATGCTGCCCAACCCACCTCCTTGCACGCCGTGCCGGCCTTCATAGGTGCTAGTCCGTTCAGGCGATACGCGGATCGTTGTCGTTGTGCGCACACAACCAGAATGTGATGGACTGGGCAGATATGGCGCAATATTAGTAATTACTTCACTATTGTACAAGTCTAAAACCTAGCTAGGGGTCGACTGATTGTCTTCCTGTAATAATTAACTATTTAATAATTGATAGTCGCTTGTCAAATCCCGCTCTGAATGAAGCCCTCCCCATGCTCTGCCAGTCATCGGGTTGGTTGATCGGAATCTCTTGGAGGCTTCATCATAGCCCCCTCCCTCACTAGCCCCGCCCACTGCCTCACTAGCCCTGCCCACTCCCTCCCTAGCCCCGCCCACTCCCTCGCTAGCCCCGCCCCCTCCCTCACTAGCCCCGCCCACTCCCTCACTAGCCCCGCCCACTCTATCACCAGCCCCGCCCCCTCTCTCACTAGCCCCGCCCCCTCCCTCACTAGCCCCGCCCACTCCCTCACTAGCCCCGCCCACTCCCTCACCAGCCCTGCCACACAGCGAGTGGTCTCCCTGCTCTCTCGGACACTGGCCCCTGTGTTCAACACAGACGTTTGAGTTTGGCTGGAAAAACCCAGCTCAGGCTGGAGTCAGCAACGGAGAATAAAATATGACAGCGCACGTTACACAGGCAGATCAACATAAACAACCACCTGCAAAAAAGGTAACGGAATAATGTGGAGAGAGAAAAAAAAACCCAGCAAATGTTCAAAATTATACACAGGAAACATAAATCACACTTGCTAGTTCACAGCTGTCAAATCACAGTTGCAAATGTGGCTGCCGTTGACATCGTGTGAGTTTAAGAGCGTCTCTTGATGATGAATTCACCAGAATAAGAGAGGAGGACACAAGATTCCACGCAGTGGGGCAGGAACAGCGAAGCCGTCGGTACTAAGTCCGATTCTTAATCTTGGGACGTCAACAGCGGCGTTCTTACCGTACACTACAAAGGATCACACGTCTCGAGATCCTGGCATGCATCCGTGTAAGTCGGGCTGCATTTCATGGGCTGCCGGATCTGGGCTTCAAGCTTCGTCGATCAGAAATTAGAATCCAAAGTGACAGCCGCAACACTGCCGCCCGTTAGTGGCGTCCCAACCACACTCGCGAGGCGGGGAGTGCTGCACGGTAGCATACAAGTACAGTACAACACTGGACTGTAATGCACTACCCTCTCTTGCCCATCACCGAGCGCCGCAGACAACAACATCTGCTATGCATTGTGGGTTATCCACCCGAGCGCTGTCCAGGCTCCGCTTCGGAGGTTTGACGAGGTGGGGTGCATACTGGGCGATCTGGTCATGGGCACTAAAAAGACAACACGCTGTGCCATGTTCATCTCATCTGTATTCATAACTAACAATCTCAACACATTCATCAACAACGCTGCATAGGACACCACCCGATATGTTTCCTAGTATCTATTTGACTTTAAATATAACTTTTGTTGACAAATGTGTTGAATGTTTTGCTATTTGTCCTTTGGCACGACTGGCAACTCAAATAATTTGCTTCATTTCATATTCGTGGCGTTGTGCACGCACGGCATCATGAATATTGATGGTTACGCTACACGCGGAGATCCCATTAGTATTAACCGCACTGCGCATGCAGCGTGTCCTGCGTCTCGAAGTAGCGTGGCCACGTGGCTCGCGAACCGGTTCGTCGCGTCGGATGCAGCGGCTCATCGTGCCCGCTGCAGGTGGTCACGCGAAGCGGTGACGGAGAACGCGGACCGGGGGGACCGCAGCGATGGGATCCACGCGTGAAGGGCTCCAGGTCGAGCCGGACGGGGACTGGTGATGTCATCACTGTCGCCGTCGTCTGTGTCGTCATCGTCATCAGTTAAAAGGGCTGCCGATTAATCGATTATAAAACCTAGTAATTCCATATTCGATAATTGCGCTTGATTGAATGAGCTCCAGATTAGAGTGCGTGGTTTTCTGGTCGTACGACCTATTGCTCCGAGCGCTTTTGTAACCCCTGCCTGCCTTCGGGGGTGGGATTCAGTGACCCTTGGCCACTCTCCAACGAAGACTGACAGTGTTCATGCACTGACCGGGTCGTCTCTGCGTGTGTGTGTGTCTGTGTGTCTCTGTGTGTGTGTGTGTCTGTGTGTGTGTGTCTGTGTGTGTGTCTCTGTGTGTCTGTTTGTGTGTCTCTCTGCGTGTGTGTGTGTCTCTGTGTGTGTCTCTGTGTGTGTCTGTGTCTCTGTGTGTGTCTCTGTGTGTGTGTCTGTGTGTGTGTCTGTGTGTGTGTCTCTGTGTGTGTCTGTGTGTATGTCTGTGTGTGTGTCTGTGTGTGTGTGTCTGTGTGTGTGTCTGTGTGTGTGTGTGTCTGTGTGTGTGTCTGTGTGTGTGTCTGTGTGTGTGTCTGTGTGTCTCTGTGTATGTCTCTGTGTCTGTGTGTCTGTGTGTGTGTGTGTCTCTGTGTGTGTGTGTGTCTGTGTGTGTGTCTCTGTGTGTGTGTCTGTGTGTCTCTGTGTGTGTGTCTGTGTGTCTCTGTGTGTGTGTCTGTTTGTGTGCCTCTCTGCGTGTGTGTGTCTGTGTGTCTCTGTGTGTGTGTCTGTGTGTGTCTCTGTGTGTGTGTGTCTGTGTGTCTCTGTGTGCGGTTAGCGCGCTGCGCTATGAACCTAGCAATTCGGGTTCGATTCCCGCTCACGGCCAACACCAGTGACGATTATTTGAACCGGTCCCGGGTCTCCCCTAGGTCGACTCAGCCTTAAATTAATACCTGGTGCGATGTGTAAACACCGCCACTAGGGAGACAAAGGCGGCTGGGCGTGGTGTTGGCCACCCACCCCCTCGTGTGCCGTGCTGGCCTTCATAGGTGATCGCTAACAGCACTTGCCCCTACAGTCTGTTACAGGCTACACGGGGGATCTCTGTCTTGTCTCTGTCCAGAACTGGCAGCATGACAATGCTCATAAAGACGATCAATATGAACATATTATATTTCTGTCGGGAAATAAACTCAGGCTTTCTTCATTCTTTTACTTCACGAAAATAATGCTCGGTAACGATGCATTTTTTTTACAATGGTAATTGTAATGAGATAAAGAGGAAACTAAGTATGCACTTCCAATCAAATGCTGTCAAGCTTCCCTGCTGGGAAAAACAAAAAAATCCAAAAATAAATGAGTAACTAAAAGGTCACTATTAATATTATTTTGCTCGTTTATCCAGCACAAACTCAAGAGGACGGGGGAGGCTCCTCATCCAGCAGTGGATAAAGAGAAACGCTGTACGTGGGCATGACACACACTCGGTCGCTTAACACCAGCCAGAGCAGAGCTCTCACTGTTGCCAGATCGCTGAAATATCCATCACAGCGGGATCCTCAAGAATCAATGCAATGCCGTGTGGCCAGCACAGCTACGGCGTGGGCATTTCATTTAGAACACATCCACTGGGATTTAAAATCCGTTGGCTTGTGGCAGCCAGGCATGCGCGGCTCACTGCGGTGATCCACACATCTCTTTGCCGTTTAGTATGCGTGTTGAATAATGCGCTGGTGTCTCTGTTTGCCCTTCTCTCCTGGTCTCATTCGCACTTTTAATTTATTTTCAGCCTTCATTTCAAGGCTATGTCCGTGGGCTCTCCGTCTAAAGAGCCATCTCTCTCCCCTTATTCAATCGGCAGCAATGCTGACATTTAGCCACGCATGTGGTTTGGGTTCCGTACTTTGGCTCATCCGCACTCACTGGATACTTCTCTCCACGAGGTTTGTTTCTAAATTGTCCCATATTTTTCATTCTTAACTTCGATCTGGGATCGATCGAATGGGCGCTAATTTGTGGGAAGGCGACACGCGGCGGAGAGACCGGCCCCCGACTGCAGGGCAACAACAGGGATGGGAAATTTCCACCATTGCCTCGGGGCTTTTAATGCAGTCGAGTGCCACGCTCTACTCGTTGGGGATAATTAATATTCTCAATGCGCTTGATGTGAAATAATAATCTCCATAAGTGGCTGGGTCACTCAGGAGTCAGAGCGCTGAGCCACCACCGATGAGATCCTGCATTTTCATCTCCGCAGCAAGCCCCGCCGGCACGACCGTGGCACGCTGACGCCGCATGCCTCCTGCTGCCCGGCGGACTCTGCACTGGGCAAAGCGCTGCTCGCTCACCACAAAGGTGGTGGTACGGGTGGTGTCTGCTCTGGAAGGATGATGCGTAGTTAATAATTAAATCGCAATAGTTTACAACCCTTTCTCATCCACTGCTGGATAAAGGCTTCGCCATGCTGCAGCTGTCAGGGGGGGTTGGTTGGCCCTACATCACCACGCTAGCAAGTGGGGGCTGGTGAAAGAGGGAGCAAGGAATGGTTCAGACAACACCGCTGATGTCAGCCATGGCCAGGAATATAACTCAGACGGCCGCTTTCGTAGTGCAGTGCCTGAGCTGCATGAGCTACTGCACCACCGCTCCCCCCAACTAAATAATTATCCATGAGTAAATAAAAACATGTCCAGATCGCTCTTGCAAAAAACCAACATCGACTCTGAAGGGGCCGTCACCTGCTTTAATAAACGTGCACTTCATTTAATTAATGAATACAGCTGTTCCCCTTTGGAGCTGCACGGATCTCCTCCTAAATGCTACGGCATCTCAA